TGATTGTGGAGGGGTAGAGGAGGGGGCACTCAGAGGCTTGTTTGTAGTGTGCTAAAGCTCCACAGGTGATTTTAACCTTCTAATTTGTTTTAACCTTCTAATTTGTTTTAACAAAGCAGCTTGTATGTGTTTTGTGATGAAGCTCTAATATTTATCCCAACACATATGTGCTTTTCCTATGCATACCCTTAGTGAAGAAACCAATTATAATTAATTTAAACCTCACTTGTGCTTTCTCATAGGGATCATCTTTAAGAAATGAAAAGCGAGGCTCGTCGTACCTTCTCTCGGCCCCAGACAGTGGTTCTGTGGAGATTGTGGACCAACAGTCTGAGGGCACAGCCGCATACTACGTGGAAACCTACTTAAAGAAGAAACGAGTGTACTGAGTAAAGCTCTCCTTGTAACCTCGTAGGTCCTTGCAGTACCTCTGCTGTTCATTGCTGCCTTAACTTCATTCAAACTAGCCATATCCTTTCAATACGGGTTTATAATCTCCCACAAGGATCTGTGTTGTGCAGCAGGCAGAACTGCCAAATGAAAGATACATAGCAATAAGAAGAGACACTCATTGAGAACATTTTCCACTAGAATTAGATGCATTTTAATGTGGTATTCACTGACAGTCCACTGAAGAAATTAACAGTGTTTCAATAGTCCTTATTTAAGGACTGGGAATAGTTGACACCATATATAAAGTTTGAAGCAATAAACAGGAAACGGTTTTGTTTCCTGAGCCTTAGAAACAGGAGTTTCTGATAAGCCAATGTGCATTTCAAATTGCTTTCCCTAGAAGTCATCTCGTCTATAGATTTAGAACTTTTCCTAGAATTGCAGAAGTGCAAGTACCAAATGCAGTGACGGTGATGTCATAAAGATGCTCTACGTACAACTGAGTATCACCCACACTCCAGCCAGGCAATTTAAAACCTGAGTTGACAATCGTGACATCCAAGGTGCACACCCCTCAACATTTCATTGATTTATTTAGCTGGAGCTTTGGTGGCAGTGTTGTAGTTTGAACCTACCAGCCACTCTCCCGGTAGACGTGGCAGGCTGCTTCTGTAAAGGTTAACCTTCTTGGAAATCCTTAGGTGCAGTTTTGCTTACAGGGTGGCTGTGAGTCAGAATTGACTCAGAGGCAGGCAGTCTGGTGTGGATTGTTTAGAATTTGTACCTTTTGTGACAAACACAGGTGCAAAGTAGTTTTGTGATCCAATACAGGGGTTTGGGAAACTGTATGTCCATGTGGGCCAAATTCAGTCCACCAGTTGTTTTTCACTGCCCTTGAGCTAAGAATGTTGTTTACATTTCTAAATGTTTTTTTTGGGGGGGAGGAGTATTAATTTGCCACATGTGAAAATGATATGGAATTCAGATTCCAGTGTCCATCAGTAAGATTTTGCTGTAACACAGGTACATAGGATTAGTGGAGTCGTGACAGGAGACCATCTGGAGTGCAGAGCCTAAACTATTGATTGTCTCGTCCTATAGATACCAAGCCTGTGATCCCTCACATAATAGCATTAATTCCCCATCACTTTTACTCTAGCTGAGGGCAAATCCTTAGCCTTGGGACAGACTTTTTAAGTGGCAAGGATTGCAGGCTTGTGTGCTTCCTGTAACAATATAGACTAACAATGCTCTAGATGGGGGGTGGGAACGTCTGGCCCGTGGGCACATTGGGAACTCACTTCCGACTCACAGGAACCCTATAATGGGGTTTCCAAGGAGTGGCTGGTGAGTTTAAACCACTGACTTTGTGATTCAAACTGACCTTGTGGTCCAGTGCGTATCCCATAGTACCACACCAGGATTCCCACGGTCCATATGTTGTTGTTGTTATGTGCCGTGGAGTCGGTTCCGACTCATAGCGACCCTGTACAGGGTTTCCAAGGCTGTGAATCTTTACGGGAGCAGAAAGCCTCATCTTTCTCCTGTGGAACAACTGGTAGTTTAGAACTGCTGTCCCTGAGGTTCGCAGCCCCGTTTGTAACCACTATGCTACCAGAGCCCTTGAAATCATTTGGCCTGGCCCTGCCAAGGCAACTGCAGGCCCAGCCATCACATTAGGGGTGAATTAATTAAATGTTTGATCAAACATAGCAGGCTAATTTTTAAGTTGATCGTTTTCTATTTCTCATGAATGATACTATAAAGTTTGGCAGAAAAAAAGGCTCCCCACTCCTGCTCTAGACACTACAACATGGCCGAGTCTGATCATCGAATGCCCCATTTCCACAGTAAAGTAAAGCGGTCAGTACTGCCCTTTCTGAAGGAGTCTATGAAACAACAATACAAATATGCGCTAATAAGCTATACCTCACTCTGCTTTGTTGTATTCTTTTGTAGTGTGTTAGTTTGAAAAATATCAGCTATTTAACCCAATTTATATCTGAAAGAATTGTCTATCCTTATTGCATATGATTTTTGACATCATTTTCTGAACCCCTTGGTATCAAATGCATGAGAAAGCCTTTGCCATCTAGAAATTCCTGAGGTTACTGTTATTCGATTATAGCCGATAGGGAGTTTGGGGCTCTCAACAGTCCTAGTTGTTTTTTTAAAAAAATCTGAGCATCACGTATCTTATCATTTGGGTGATTTATTATTTTGACTATGATATAAAGAATCTTATTTGACTTACGAAGTTTAAAATGGATACATGTGTTGTATGCTTTGTAAAGCATTCTACCTGGTCTAATTGTATATACTACTTCTGTTGGAAAATGACACCTAGGAAATTACTTTCTAAGAAGTATACTACCTATAAAACACAGATCTCGGTCAGGCGTCCTCACTCAATCAGACAGCAGGTTTCTCTCGACGCCCTGCACTTGTGGTCCACTTTCCTGCTGCCTTTTAGCCTCCTCAGAACTTAGCCATACCTCTACTGTAATGAGAACAGGAAAAAGGGGGGAGACAGTGAATTTTACATCAGAGCTGTAAAATGAGAGCAGGAAGAAGGTGAAGGAAACTGACATGAGGATGTTTTGGATTACATCACATGTGGACTTGCTATTTCCCACCAGCCTGTGCCCCATGATCAATGGACATTAATACATGTGCAAATCAAGTGGTATTGGTAATAAGGACCATTATACTGAACCCCCAAAGCCTAAACTGCTATTTTTCTATGTAAGCGAATTGTTTGAAATGCTCTGAAAATGAAATCTGAATATTAAAAGGCATATGCATGTGAAGTCTTTAGTATATTTATTTGTATAAAGAGTAAACAAAGTGCATATAGAGTGGCCACAGGTTTGACAATAAACAGAGACCTTAGTGATGGTAGGGTATCAACTGAGTTTAAATGGCAAGTTTATTGTTGCCAGCGAATGAATGCTGAACACTCTTCCAGGCTCAAAAGGAGGAGAAAAGTAATGACACTGAACAAATGCTAGACAGCGTTAACCAAGTTTTTCAGACTCTTGGTCATAAGGATCTTTAAGGTTCACACTAAATCAGAGTAACCGTTTTTGATTATCCTAAGGTACCTCCAAGCAAACTGGACATGGTTAATTGGTTCCTGGTTCCATAAGTGCTTCTAGCTGGGCCTTTTCTTTCAAGTTTTATGGCCAAGGGTGAAGGTCAAAATAGTGATAGACTCTTGTAGATGGAAGCTAAGTTTCAAAACACTCTAAGAACAGTGCAATGTTATGTGGCATCTATTCAGACTGGTTGCATACAGCATCCCAAACCAGTGCTAGAACAGCTTGCCCCAAAGTGGCAGAGTTGTAAAAGGGTATACACTGACATTTCTTCAAAGTATGTAGAAGAACATCCAGGTTCTTGGGTTTGATGATCCTAATTAAAGTTATACAGCTGAGGCAAGCACGGGCACAGGCTGAGTTCTTAAGAATTAAGGTCATGCAGCAAAGTATTTATTCCACAGCTGCCCCCTTGTGCATAAACAGTTTTCTCAAAAAAATGGGTACCGCGGGTCACCCAAGGGGACAGGAGCTAAGCCACTGGAGAAACACTTCAGTTCAAAGGTTAAGTCCTACTGGTGGCAGGAATACACTCATCTCTGTATAGAAACAATGATATGCTAACTGGTGGCTACTACTGCAAAAAGGCTTGGTCTCTCACTGTATAGATAATGAAATTTGATGGCAAGTTAGAGTATTAGCTATATGTCCTATCAATATTTATCTTGGGTTTATGTGCCAGAAAAAACTTTTCACATCAACTAGCAGTTGGGAAAAAGCTATCATTTTGAGAGATTTTGGTCAACTCCCTGTCGTTCTGAAAGCTCCCATTTTGGTAGGTAACTGTGGGTAGTGGCAAACTAACCACAATAAATGGTGATACAGTCCTTCCAAAAGGAGGAGCGCTTAAGTGTGTTCTAACACTTTGTCACTGTTGGTTGCTAAGTTACTGGTGCCAAATTTAAAGGGGAAGTTCTTACGCACATTAAGCACCGCAGTGTGCCTTATTTCAACACGGATACATACATAGTCACTGAATGACTTTTTAGACTGAACAGAAGCTTTGGCCATTAAAATTTTTCTTCTTTAAATGGTTTGGGTATTTGTTCAGGGAAGGGAGACTTGATAAATGATGAAATTTAAATGTTATTATTCATGCTTCTTATTTTAAAAGTGCTTCAAATTCTTCAATAAGGTTTTGAAAGGTTGTCCGACTGGATGGTTGTAATTCCCAGCATTTTCTCATAAGTTGGTAAACCTGTAAAAAGCAGGAAAACAGAAAAACAGTAACAACAGTAAAAATGTTGAGTTTGGAAGCTTTTGTAAAATTACAGAACATCAGAGGTAAGAAAACAATTTTGAAAACGTAAATAATTTTTCCTTAATAAATAAGCTGACAAGAAAACAAGAATATATAATTAATTTTAAATACAGAAAACGTTAGACTACTATGTTCTTGTTTGTTAGTGTTCACTGAGTTGGTTTCAACTCATAGCAAAACTCTGTAACAGACCGAAGCCCAGCCTAGTCTTATACCACCTTCATAACTGTTACGTCTGAGCACCTGCCACAGCCACTGTGTCAGTCCATCTCAATGAGGGTCTGTCTCGCTGACCCACTACGAAGTATGATGTCCTTCTCCAAGGACTGGACCCTCCTGGTATGCATAAGTGCCGTCAAGTCAGTTCCGACTCATAACGACTCTGTATAGGGTTTCCAAGGAGCTGCTGGTGAGTCTGCACCTGCCGACCTTGCAGCTCAGTGCTTATTTTCTATCATTCATAGATAATGTTGTAAAAGTTGAGAAGCTCATGGGTTAATTAACCTTCAGAAAGATCAAGTGATTACTGTAAAACAGTGGAAATGTGAAGTTAAATCTCAGTGTAGACTCTAAATTTTCAAACTTGTTTCATTCTGTGACTTATAAACAGTCTAGTGTTTAGTCTTAAAGGCTCGATTCACTTTAGTGTATGTACTGTTGAAGTGAACACTCATTTCACTTGAGATCACACAGAATGGGGGCAGTGTTATAACAGGTTACATAAAAAATTGCACTTCTCTTGGTTTGTCACAGTAAGACTAGACCCAGATGTGTTCTGTAGGGTAAGAAGTGGATCAACATTGACGGAAGCCTACTTTTGGAGTTAATCCTTGATTTGAACAGAGTCCATGGCTATCATCAGCCCCTAAGAAGATTTCTCAAATGTATTATCTGAAATTCAGCTTCTGAATACTATTTTAAAGGCATTTTTCTATCCCATCTGTCATTCTCCCACCCACCTCCCCTTACTAGCTAACTCAAGCTGTTTAAACCTAATAAAGGCAGTTTTATGCCTGTGAAGTAAGCCATCATTACCTCATCGGGGCAGTTGGTAGGACATGGCAAACGCTTTCCTTCCTTTAATGCATTCACAAGTCTTGTGACTGTCATCTGGCCATGAGTTGGGCCGATCATTTTCAGGTACAACTAAAATAAAACCAAATGAAACATTTCATTTTGAGCATATTTATATATAAAAACCAAATACATTAAGAGTAAAATTACCAGTGTTAACAGGAAATGAGAGTAACAATAAAAACACTTTTTTCTTTAGTAACCTGAAAGTCCAATATCCTTTGCCTAGCTCTCAGTTATCAGTCTATTAATGAACTCAGACTCTACCATCCACTCCTTCCCTATGAGCCTGTTTCTGTGAAAATGACTTTGGGGATAAACAAACCATAGGCTAGACTCCTAACCAATAGTATCCTAACTCATTTGTTCTCACATGAAACCATTCCTGGTCTATTCATACAGATAACACCTTTGAAAGTCAAAACTGGGTTCCCTGTTGTAACCAAGGCACCAGAGAGCCACATATAACTGTCCAGTAACAAACCAGATCAAGTGGAAGCATATTTCCCAGTCTGCTAAAACATATGGGTTGGATTCACGTGAATAAAATTTCAGCAGAAGGAAGGATGGCTGTGTTTTAGCTGGATGCTCCATTGCAGTGACAAGACAAGTAGCTTACCGCCATGGGACTGGAGTCGGAATCACAGTAAGTGAGCAGTTCATGCAGAGTCACTCCAAACGACCAGACGTCAGAAGCGATGTAGAATTTACACTGGATTAAACATTCTGGGGCGTACCTGGAAGAAGGCAGAACATGAAACTTCATTTCCCGAGAAGGAAATTCCAACAGACATTACACAGGCACTCAAAGGAGTCACGCTCTGGTGCTTAGAATGGGATATCTGTAATAATATTATGTATTAATCCTAGTGTGGATCAGCACTGGACTGCTAACCACAAGGCTGGTGGTTCAAACCCACCAGTCACTCCTTGGAAACCTCATACAGGGTCACCATGAGTAGAAACCAACTCGACAGCACTTAACACACACACACTGCTAGGTGTACACTAGACATCTACAACAATATGCTTGCTAGTATCTCAGCAGTGTATCTGCACCAAACAATCAGTGTCAACTTTTGTCTTAGTCCATATTCTTTCATTTCACTGAGCCCTGGTAGCTTAGTGGGCTATGTGTTGGGTTGCAAACTGCAGGGTCAGCAGTTTGAGTCCACTAGCCACTCTAATTGCCTCGGAAACCCTATACAGGGTTGCTCTGAGTTGGAACTAACTTGACGGCACACAGCAGCAGCATGCTCTCACTGTGGAGCTGGTGGAGGTCACAGGAAAACATCTTCCAGGTTGGAGTCGCCTTCACGTTCAAAATGAGTCAGCAGAGCAACCTTACTAACAAACCCTCTTTCCTATGTTACCTATTTTGGCAAATGATACCTAGCTGCCCAAGTCAGAAACCTTCTGTTATATTGTTAAGTGCCATAAAGTCAGCTCTGACTCATAGTGACCCTACGTAGGCTTTCCAAGGAGCGGCTGCTGGTTTGGAACCACTGAACTTGTGGTTAGCAGTCCAGTGCTGATCCTACAGTGGCACACCTAAATGTCCCCGTATCCCTATTCCTGTCTTTTTTGAAACCCTGTCACTATCCTAACCACCAATCCCAGGTCTTGCTCTCAGTGAGTCTGGTGTGGGTTTCTGAAGCAGCCTGGTCAGATTTCAGGCTTGCTTCCCTCCATTCCATGGTATGATAGATAATTAAGGTTTTGTGTCATACTGGCTGGGCCTGGATTCTCAGTGGTTTGGCAGTTAAGAGGTACTCATCCTCATGATTAATGATCAAAGACCACAGCCTTCAGTATGGATTTCACCTCAATGTAAAGAAAACAAAAATCCTTACATTGGAACAATAAATAACATCATGAGGAATGGAAACAAGATTGAAGTTGTCAAAGACTTCATTTTGTTTGGATTCACAATCAACACTCACGGAAGCAGGAGTCAAGAAATCAAATGATGGATTGCATTAGTCAAATCTGCTGCACAAGATCTCTTTAAAATGTCAGTGCACCTGGCCCAAGTCATGGTATTTTCAGTAGCCTCATATGCATGTGAAAGTTGAGCAGTGAATAAGAAGATTAGAGAATGAATAATCAATATATTTGAATCATAGTGCTGGAGAAGAACATTAAAAGTACCATGGACTGCCAGAAAAAACTGTCTTGGAAGCAGTGCGGCCAGAATACTCCTTAGAAGTCAAGATGGCGAGACTCAGTCTCTCCTACTTTGGACATGTCATCAGGAAGGACCAGTCCTTTTTATCAAGCATCAAGAAGAACATCATGCTTGATAAAAAGGAGGATCCCCAATGAAATGGACTGACACAGTGGCAAATACCATGGGCTCTAACTTATCACCAAACTGTGAGGATGGTGCAGGACCTGGCAATGTTTTGGTCTGTTTCACATAGCGTTTCTGAGTTGGAACTGACTTGATGGCACCTAACTATCATCCCCGAGATGTGACCTGAAGTGGTATTTCCTGATCTGATGTCATCCTGGGTTAACCTGTTAAGGAGGTCAGATGCAAGTGACAGAATTAGGCTGTATCGTGAGTCAATCTGAGCTACAAAAGGAGAAAGAAAGGGACCTATTACTACCAAGAAAGAAGTGCCAGAGTGGAATGCATCTTTTGAACTTGGGGTCCCTGCACTGTGAAGCTCCTAGATCCAGGGAACTATTGATGCCAAGACCCATGGAGCTTTCTTAGGAATGCTGGGCCTACAGATGCTGAAAGGAGACAAGGACCTTCTCCAGAGCTGGTGCTCTGAATTTAAGCTTCTATCCTACTCAACTGTGAGAAAAAATGTGATTGTTAAAGTCATCTACCTGTGCTATTTCTGCTGCATCAACACTAGATAACTTAAAAAAAAAAAAATGGTGCCAGTAGTATGTGCTCTAGCAGATACCTAAAATATGGGTAGAATGTGGCTTTGGACTCGGATAATGAGCAGAGGCTGGGAGAGTACTAAGGAGCCTAACAGTAAAACCCTAGCTTGACTAGAAGAGACTGTTGGTGGAATTCTGGATGTCAAAGGCAATTCCAATGAGGGCTAAGAAGGAAGTTAGGTGAGGGGTAGTGGCAAAGAAACTGCAGCAGCAGAACCAGAGACAGATACAAGATGGCATGAAAACAGGCCCACAGAGCAAGAGAGCTTAGTGCCCTCTTGCAGGCAGAGTGGGGTGCCTCCGGACACTTGTAGGTAAAGCTAGGCTCTCTGACCCATGGAATGAGGGAGCTGAACACCTCTGGCCACAGCTTACTGGTGGAATGGGGTAATGGGCACTTAATCAGTAGAGCTAAAGAGCTTTGCTCAAGCAGAGCAAAGGTCAGGCTCTCTTTCTAGAGATCAAAGCAGAAGCTGAAGAAATAAGCTGCCATAGTCAAAAAAGGTAGGGCCAAAAGGTGGAACCATGTCCTCTAGGGTTCCTAAGGGTGGGGCCACCGTTTCCTAAGTTTCAAAGAGCTAGTTCTTCTTCACACTGGGTTCTGGAGTGTGGGGCTACTGTAAAGTGGCAGAGAAACTGCAGAAGCAGCCTCTGTTTAAAGCTGAGGTGGGGCTGGAAAGTTTGAGGGGGCAGAAGAACAGGGTCTGCCAGGACTGAGGGGGTGGTGTACCATTCACACTGAGGGGGACTGCAATGTCTGAGAGGGCAGAAGAACAGGGTCTGCCAGGACCGAGGGGGTGGGGTACTATTCACACAGACTAGGGGAATGCGGCTGTTCAAGGCTGAGCGAGCAGAGTTGCCTTTGTAGTGGGCCTGGAAGACAGAGCTAAAGGCCTGGATTGAAGGGTCTCCACCCAGAATACATTGTGTACAGCCAATACCTAGAGTATGGATGGCAGAGACATTGTCCAGGGAGTCTCAGAGAGCAGAGGGATTGTTTTCAAGGCTTGAGAGTTAATGCAAATTGCTTTCTTAGATTTTAATTTACTTTGTGCTCAGTGGTGGAAAAAAGTATCTTTCCCTTCAGTTGCTCCTGTTTGTAATGGAAATGTCTGTATTTTGACTGTTCCACCACTGATTTGAAAGCAGATAAGTTGTATTCTAGATTCATTCATGAAGCGGGATTTTGTACCAGTTTGGAATTTAGAGTTTGAAGAATTTGGGGATGATATAATAGTATCAGTGTGCTTTTGGCTAATACGTGTCTTTGCTGCATTATGTTAGCAGCAAATAAGACTTTTTATTTGTATTTAGACAGTATGTGTGGTTTATGAAGAAATGTACAGGTGCCAAGTTGAAAAGGAATGGACTATGAGAGTTAAGGTTTTCTGTCAACCTGGCTGGCCTGGATTTTCAGTGATTTGACAATTAAGAGGTAGTAATCCCTATGATTGCAAGATGGCAGATCGGGTGGAAGTGCAGTAAGAGCTCTGCCAGCGACAACACAGAATACCTGACCAAGCAGGCTCAGGGGATGGTCCCAAAACTCTGAATCACATATAAAGGAATATTTAGAAGGTTGGAAGGCTCACAGCTGGGGGAATTTTGGGAGAAGCAAGAAATCTATTGCTTTCTAGTCCGGGACACTCAGCTGCTCCAGGAGCCGCCATCTTGGGTGAGTCCACGTGGGGGAAGGATCAGAGCGGCCACAGAGGCCTGGCAGAACCGCAGAGATAAAGGTGTGGACATTCTTTTCTTTTGGTAGCTGTTCATTGATCCCTTGATGTCTGCGCACCTCCATTCTGGTGATTATAGGGGTGCCTGAGCTAGTGGGCACCCCAGCCCAACCCTGGGAGGGTTCTACTACGCATGCGCACAAATCTCCTTGAAATTTAGAGACAGTTTCCAATTAAAACAAAACGGCCACAGCCAGCCCTGAACTGTTTACCACTAGAAAAAAGGCCTGAACGGGGATTGTGGGGCAGGACAAGCAGACAAAAAAGGAAATAAGCCAAAAATTAAATCCTAAATTCAGCCAGAGCTCGGTAAACAACACCACGGAACACCGGGCCAAGAGGGCTCAAGAGATAGTGTTGGAACTCTGAAACAAATATAAAGGTATGTTTGGAGGATTGGAGGGTTTACAGCTGGGGAATTTGCAGGAGAATCCAGAAATCCATTGTATTCCGGATCAAGACACTCAGCTGTTCCAGGAGCCACCATCTTGGGAGAGAACAGCTTGATTGTATCAGGATTGATAGTATCAGGAGAGAACATCTTGATTGTATCTGATTGTATCAAGATTGACATAGAAATTTAAAGCGACAGTATCAACATAAAACCAAACGGCCACCACTCATCTGTCTGTCGTGCTGTGGTGGTTTGAGTTGCTGTGATTCTGAGGGCTATGCCACCGGT